GGAGGGAGAGGGCGGCGAAGTCTCGCGAGAGGGGCGGGCGGGGGCCGCTGGCTGCGGGCAGCGCGGAGCGGCGGCGGCGGCGCAGCCGGAGCCCGGGCGGCGCTGAGGAGAGGTGGCGGCGGGGCGGCGGCACAGCGATCGCGGCCCGGCACACGGACCCGCTCCGCCGCGGCGGCACGGCCGGCGCCGCCCGCCCTCCCGCACGCCGCGCCTCCGCGGCGCGGCCTGGCCGCGGCTCGGCGAGCGGGGCCCAGGCAGCGGCAGCGGTGGTAGTGGCGGCGGCGGTGGCGGCGGCTGAGCGCTCCGCCGCGCCCGCCCTGCCATCTTAGGTGCCGTGCCCCGCCGCCTTTGTGCCCGCCGCGCCCGGGCACCCGCGGGGGCCGGGCCCGACGCCCCTCCGGGGGCGCCTCCCCCCGCGGGGCCGCCGCCCCTTGCCCCGCTCCTCCTCCTCCTCCTTCTCCTCCTCCTCCTCCTCCTCCTCCGCGGGGGGCCGACCGGCGCTCCCAGCCCGGCTGCGGCGGAGGGTAAGGCAGGCAGCGCGGCGGGGGGCTCGGCCGGGGCGGCCCCGGCCCGGTGGGGCCGGCGCCTCCCCCGCCGCGCTCTGCGGCAGTGCCGCAGGGTCGGGGCCGCCGCCGCCGAGCACCGGCGGGGGAACGGGCGGCGAAATGGCGCTTCCCGCGGAGGGGCGGCCGCGGGCGGAGGGGTGTTCCCCGCTGTCAGGGGCCGCCGGAGGCCCAGGGCTGGGGCCGGGGCCGGCCCCGCGGCCAGGCGTGCCCCAGCGCCGCGGCCCTTTTTGTCTGCGGCTCCCCCGGGGGCTCCGCCGGCCGAGCCCCGACCCCCAGAGAGGGTAGGGGGTCCCTCGGAGACCCGCGCGGATTTATGCCCTTTTATTTTTTTTCAGCCTTTTTTTTTTTTTTTTTTTTTTTTTTCTTCCTCCATGCCCCTCGCTCCTCCCCAAGCGGTGAGTTTTCAGTGTATATACCATTTTGTTCGGTGCTGGTGTGGGATTTGGCTGAAAGTGACCTATTTTAAAGACCTTTTATTGCTCCCCCCTCAGCAATGCATGTGGCGGCCGATTCCGTTACCCAAATAGCGTTTCCCAACCATTTTAATTTGTCAGATTAAAACATCTCATGGAGGCTGGATTTCTGTAACCCGCGTGTGGGTATGTCGTTAGAAATATCTCTCACCCCGCTTTGCTGCAAGCATCTTTGGAGCATTAGAGTTGACCTTTGTCACTGTGAAAGCAGAAATAAATATCAAGGCGATACCTGGGAGATGCAGTTGTACCATTGTGTTGGGCGCGGTACAAGAAATGGGGTGGGGGGGAGAACCAGAGATTAAAATGGTTGTTGTCAAATGTAGATCTTCACATGCCTTCGGAAAAAAATATGACAGATCGGTAACAGCCCTGAGGACTTTTAATATATTTTCTTAGAAAAACGTTCCATGTTTATCGTGCTTGTCTCTGCTGCTTATCATGGCATGGAGTATTTCATTAGGTGGCATTTTAGTGGCTCTGTTGGTTAAATAGCAGTTGCATTAACTAGTTGAACAAATTGTGTCCTTCACCTTTGACTATTACATTTTGAGAGCCGTTACAGCAGTGTGCCCATGCATGCCAAGGGCGGATTAATAAGATGTTACCTAAAGGTTTGGATGTTATTGATTCCTTACTATTAATGCTATTTATAGTGCATTTGACATGGTTCTTGTTTTATGTATTTGGATAAAGGTTATCAGCTTGGAATGCTTCAGATGAAACGTTTCAAAAATACCACCCCAAAATATATATATAAAATTGAACAATATAGTTCAGATCTTCAGTGTCTGAAAAACAGCTTTAGTAGCTAGCACATAATAGTGAAAACCATGAAAAACTGATACATTTTGACACTAGGGAAGGTTTGTTTTCATATTTCAGGATTACAGAATAACAACTTCTGTTGCAATACACACAGTTTTTGGTATGCTTTTCTTGAGCCTACTTTGAGCCTACATTTTCCTTGCCTTTGTGCCTCCTCATAGTTAATGTGTCATAGTTTTTGCTACTTATGTCCAAGGGCAAACCTAATCAACGATTGGTTTGAGCCTTCATATTAGATTCTCCACAACATTGGCCTAGTTCTGACTGGTATGTTTGCCATTTTTAGGACTCCTCTTCATTTTATCCGTAGACTGAAATACATTGATAAACTTGAACCTCAATTTGTCCTTTGAACTTGAGAGAATGTTTTTCTCCTCTTTTAACAGTATCTCAGTGAAGAGAAGGTGATTCTGGTAGAACAGCTTAATTTTAAGTTTAATCTTGCTGGAATAAAACCGCCTGAAGTAAAATCTCTTTGGATAGTTGGATGTTATTTTTCTTTTTAACTAGACTGAATTAAGTGTTGCCTGTACAGGACCAGATGTTGGCATTAAAATTATGTACAGATAAGGTGGCTTAGGCCTCAAGTTAGACTATTTGAAAAAGTTATCTATGTCCTGCTGTTAAATTCCAGTGTAAGCTAGACTGAAGAACTTTAAATGTTTACTTCCAGCTAAATAACGTTCCCAATTGTGCAGTTTTCATCTCTGGCCCTATTCACCAGTTTTTGTCTCCAGAATAACATGTTTTTAATGAATAGTAAGACAGTCTCAGGTTTTATGCTTGGTGAGATTCATTGGAAGAGAAGCAAATATCACACTAATAATTACATCTTCAGATGTATCCTAGTAGTGGATTTCCTGTAATGAGGGTGTTTTGTAGAGAACAATAGATATGGCAGCAATTTCAGAGATTTGTTTTAAAGATGTTGTATGTAGGTAGCTGACTCTGCAGTAGTGAGTTCCACTTTGACAACAACCCTTGCATACTCAACAGAGCTTTAGGTGGTTCCCAGGTACTTGGTTTTCAGTTGTAATTCTCTTTCTAGCAAAGACAGACTGGATATACTGCTGCTGTTGTCTCTCATGTCTGTCACTTCTGCATGGATATACTTCTGATCTGACTTAGTAGGGAGTAAGGTCATTTGCAAAATATGTCTCGTAGAAATTTTTTTGACAGTATAGGTATTTTGTCAAGTAAGAAGTTAATTAGGGTTGATCTGGCTCTTTTTGTGATCCAGAGGTGATGAGGAAGCTGTGGTAAATACTGCTTGTCTTATTCTATTCTCAGTGTGTTTTGGAGAGCACTCCCATAATCACAAAGATCCTATCTTAGAAGCATTTTCTGTTGTGTTTCTGTTCATATTAAAATCATGTAAACAAGATATTGTTAGGTTGAAGTGCATACTAGAAATTATAAAAATCTTTGGTGTTACCATGGGTGAGGCATGCTCTTGTCTTCTGAATGGCGTGGTGCTGGGTGGCCTTTACCTTTTTCCTGTTCAAGTATGCTGTGTGGTGTCAAGGATTTTACTTTATTTCCTTTTGTGAACCTGGACAAAGGGAAGAGCTGAGCTTCAACCCTGGACTGGAGTTGTGTCTGAACTGGAAAGTGTCCTGGGTCTGACAGCAGGGTTTCAGTTCTGTCCTCTCCTGGTTAACCATGCTTGGGACAAGCTTGCCTGTAACAGCACAGAGCAGGATGATTTAAAACTGAGACCCACATCTGTCCTTTCTTCTATAATATTGTGTGTGTCCTACTCCTCTCCACGAAGTGCTCGTTCTGGATGGACATGGTGCAGGATGAAGCCCTGGTGTGTGCAGCCTGGTGCTCTCTGGCGAGTTCCCCTTACGCTGGAAGTTGACTGAGGTGTGCAGTCCTGTCCTCCACCTGCTTCTCCATGTGTCATTTCATTGGCTCTGGTCTTTGATCCTGCACCAGCAGAAAGCTAACCTAAAGAAAAATACAGTTTAGTGTCAGCTTGGTGATCTGAAATGGCTCAGTGCACAGTGAGGTGATGTTAGAGACAACCCCAGGGGCTGCGCTGCACCAACACAGCCAGCAATCAGGTTTAAAGACAGAGGTGGCTGGTGGCACTTTTTGCTAAACTTGTAGTGGGTAGGTTTCAGGATCCTTTGTTTTTATTGTCCTTTAACATGCTGAGGCATTGCTGATCATACATTGATTTCTCTGTGGAGAAGAGACTGAAAAAAATTCAATGGACAAAGGGTCAGAAAATCACTAATCTCCTCATGTGAAGTTCCAGAGGGAGAGTCCTTCCTGTAAAAAAAAATTAAAATATGAAAACATTAAATCAGAGGTGAAATGCAAAGTGTCTGAGGGGAAGAAGTGTGCAGAAAATAGTAGGAAAAGGTAGAGAGCTGTTTAAAAGCAGAGTTGGCTTTTACACACTATTCCTTCTTGCTTGCCTAAGTGCTCATTTACAGTACAGAACATGGAGGAGGGAATACTTTCTGAAGGCCCTTAGAAACACAATGGACATTAGCCAGCACAGTGGGGGCTCCAAACTTGGTTCTTAAAGCAATTTTTGAACAAATATTTGGTGATCACTGGAATTACAGTATTCTTTTAATTATGGAAGGGAAGCCATTAAGAACTTCTAATACTTGATCAGAAATCAGTGCATTATTCCTCTTGATTTTATTTTTTTTTCACATTCTGCTAAATCTTTGTTTCTTTGCCAGATGAAGAGGCAAGGTAGCCACTGTAAACATAGCATGAAATTGCCAAAGCAGCAATAAGTTTTGTCCAAACAGAGAAGTTTCTCCAGTTTAATCAGAGCTTGCTGAGGACAGATCTACAACATTAGTTACACACCTATAGCTTGGAGGTGAGGTTTTCTTTCTCTTAGGGATTGGTCCAACATGAGTTAGAGTGATGATGGCTTCTTAATACAACTGGACAGTAGCTTAGGGTAGTTTAAGCCTGCTGTATTGCTTGGCTGGAAACAGCTTTGATTTTTCTTTAGGGGTCAGGATGGGGTGACAGCATGAGATTTACATATTGAATATTGTCCTTAGGATGGAAAAGGCTGGAAATGTTTTGTTTGAGGGAAAAGTTAGATCTTGGGGAAAAAAAGTAAAAGTCACAAAACTCTAAAGCTGGCAGGCTCTTCAGTTTTCTGTGCCTGTGATCTTCCAATGACCCTTATTACACTTCTGGCTACAGCCATGCAAATATTTTCTTTAGAGTGAGATGTAGTTTTATAAAAACAGTTTTCTCCTACACTCATTGAGTTCAGTGTGGTTTACAGGGCAGCCTCCTATCAGAATGTGGGGGAACAGTGCCTGTAAGTTTCATTGGAAGCTTTTATTGCATGTCGGTTTTGTCAATCCATATTTGAAAAGAAAATTTTGATGATTACTGTTAATCTCAGAAATTTTTGCTATAGCTTTAGACCGAAAGCCAATATGCATTACAGGTGAATTCTTAAAATGTGAATAAAGTTGCTTTCAGCCTTTCACTTAGTTCATCTAAACTTTAAAACTTCTTTTTCTTCCCTTTAGCCTTCTGCCATTTGTTGGGCACCGCTAGACATAGATTTTGAGGGGTTAGGTCCTTAGGATCAGTCCTTCCTTTTACATTGCTGGTTCAGCTTCAGTTCATTCTGGTCTGGCTGATTTCTAATGTCTGGAAAGCTTTGGGATCCAGGAGCATGGGAAAGAGGGATATGCAAGTATGTTGAAAGGGTAGGGACCATTTCTTGTAACACTTTTGGCTTGCTCCCCATCCATGTGTTCAGTCTGTTTTCCAAGCACCCAGCAATCTTCCCTGACATTCCACTGCTCAAGGGCAGTAACAGACCCATGAGCCCATGCCCAGAGAAAATGTACTGAGATTTCTTGGAAAGAATCTCATGTGCTATTGCACATGTTTGTTATTTTTGCCTCTTTCACCATTCTTAATATGCAATTCTCATTTCCCACCTCAGTCCCCTTTTAATTGGTGACTGTCCCTCTCTCCCCAGCCGAGATGAGAGGAGAGGTTATTTTTGCTAGTGCTGTTTCTCAAATAGGCCACGGGTATCCAGTAAGTAGTGCATTAACTTTCTCCATCAGTTATTAGGATTTCTC